GATCCTGAGATTCCCCTGAAGGCCTTGCGGGATACGAAACGATTCTTGGATCTGAGGAAAGTGTGGTTTCCCTACAGGCATGGGAAGTTCCAGGTCTCTTAGGTCCCCCCTAGATTTCATGCCCACTGGCCCTCTTGGGCAGCCTTGGCACTCCCCCGCCCCCACCCCAGGAACAGCATCCCCTCACACCAGGAGCTCCCTGAGGCAGGACCGAGTCTGTCCACACCATGCTGGCATATAGACGTTAAGCAGACCCTTTGCCTGGGTTTTCTACTGCCAGATCAGCCAGGTAGTCTGTAGGCCTCTGCATTTGGGGAGCTGCTTCCCAAGGCCCCCTGGAGGGCAGGACCATGTTGTCCACTCTAGATAGGTCCTAGAGACCCGGACAGGGCCAGGTGAACTGGGTGCGGTCTGCCCAGTGAAGGCGTCTCCCTGATTCTGCAAGTGATAACTTAATTGCCCTGTAAACTTACTTTTGAGGAAGACCTTGGCGAGCTCTTGCCTCTCCAGGCTGGAATCAACAATTTAGAAGTTGAAATACCAGTTTCCAATGTTTTGAGATGAGAAAAAGGAGTCAAGAGGGAAGATCAGGGGAGCAGGTGATGCATGCAGCCTGGGGTAGCCTTGGCCGTATACCCCACTTCTCCTGGGCTCCAGGCTGTGGGCCCAGGGCCTTGACCTGAACAATGGGGCGACTGAGTAAACAATTCTGTGAGGCTCTTTATGGACCCAGGGGTGACTCATTCCCTCCCCGCCTTGGAAGGGCTCCCATCAGGTGGGGGTGACCGCAATACTGATGACTAGTAAGAGAAGAGCGGAGGGATGGGTGGACGGGCTTTTCCAAGAAGGCTTCCTGGAAGGCTGGGGTTTAGATGAGGAGCTGAGAAAAGGTACTCTGCACAGAAAGAATGGCCCAAGCAAAACTTTGGAGGGGAAGAAGCTTTAGCAAAACCAGGGAAGGTAGTGGCAATTCTAAGGCATCTCACTTGGCTGGCAGATGTCCAGGATATAGGAGGATTCTGAAAGGTCAGCTTGGGGCAGATCCAGGAAGGCCCTGAAGGCCATGCTAAGGTCGGTCTTTATTCCTCAGGCCAAGGGGAGCCACCATTGGTCTGTGAGCAGGACAGAGGCAGGGTCATTCACTCATTTCCAAATCTTTATTGAGCACCTTCTATGTGCCAGGCACTGTTCTAGGTGCTGAAGACACTGCACTTGACAAATTACTACTGGCATGGAGCTTACGTTTTAATAACCAATATTATAGCTAATATTTACTGAGCATTTACCATGTGCCGTGCATGTTGTTTAATCTTCACAGTGACTTCAGAAGTAGTTACTATCATTATCCCCATTTTGCAGATGGGGAAACTGAGGCACAGAGGGGGTTAATTGACTTGTCCATAGCCAAAGAACTATCAAGAGATAGAGCATGACTTGAACTTAGCCCTCTGGACCAGACTCCTTGCCCCAAGCCATGAAGCTTCTCTGATCATATACTCCCTTTTGTCCTCCAGGGCCCACAGGCTATCTTCCAGGCCCCTTCAGACCAGCCCCACATTGGGCATCTGGGGGCGTGGGCCAGCTCACTGACAGTAGTGACCTAGGGAAGGGGTTGGCTGGGAGAGTCCACCACGTACACTATTTCAGAAGAATAGTGGGGGACTGCATGCCACCGGGCTGGCCCAGCTGGGACGCGGAAGGGAATAGCACTTCCTGTTACTACTGTCTTTGGCTGCAGCCTGCTGAATGGCACCAAGAGGTGGGCAGGGCTGGGGCATTCTCCCCATTTAACAAATGGAGCATCTGACACTGTTGAGGGCTCAGCGCACCACCCCCTCCACACGCAGCCTGAGGATAGCAAGGGGGAACCAGCATCTTCCAGGGATGCCTGGGGAGAGGCTGGGACAGTGCTTTCCTAGCCCCTGGGTTCCCTCCGTGGCCCTAGGACCCGGTCACGTGAAGGGACAGTCCCAGGGTTGTCTGGGGTCTTGGCAGGATTTGAATTTGAAGTAGACCAGGCCTGAGCAGACGGAGCCTAGTAACCGTCAAAACACCACCTGTGAGGACAGCAGAGCCTTTGCGGGCAGGGACGATTTTGGCTAGTGGCTCTGGGATCACGACGAAGAGGTGAGCTAGTCGATGGAATCAGGGCACCCAGCCTAACAATCAGGACATAGGATGCCAAGTTTTTTCAGATGACTTTGGCTAGCGAAGGCAGTGCAACAGGGATGGGAAGGCAGAGCAGCTTAGGAGTCAGCGCAGGAGGTGCTGAGCAGGGGGTCAAGAGCCAGACTACCCGAGTTTAAAATTTTTTTGCTTACTTATTTTTGAGAGAGAGAGACAGAGCGTGAGCAGGGGAGGGGCAGAGAGAGAGGGAGACACAGAACCTGAAGCAGGCTCCAGGCTCTGAGCTGTCAGCACAGAGCCTGATGTGGGGCTCGAACTCACGGACCGTGAGATCATGACCTGAGCCGAAGTCGGATGCTTAAACGACTGAGCCCCGCCAGGCGCCCCTGGACTACCCAAGTTTAAAGCTGCCACTTCGCAGCTGTATGACCATAAAGTAGTCATTCAACCTCTCTGTGCTTCAGTTATTTACTCTGTAAAAGGGGAATAATAATGGTATCTTCCTTCTCAGGTTGTTTGAGCATCACAAGAGAGTTAATGCCCAAGAGGATGCATGGCATTTGGCACGCCCAACACTAATAATTCTGCTATAATTATTCTGCTGTGGAGTACCTTCTTATATGGTCAGCATATAGTACCCACCCCATAAAGCACTTGGCACACTGCTTGGTACATAATAGGTGCTCAGTAAATGTGGTTCTTACTAATGTTAATAATGACAGCAGCCCTTCAGGGTGGGAGTGGGTACCCCATCTTCCAAAGAGGCTCAGGATCCCACAGGGAGCCAGCTGCTCAGGCAAAACTAGAAGCATGTGCACTGCATGTACAGGGACGGGCAGGGCATCTTCTGTGACCTCGTGGCTGGCTGAGCCTCCCCCAAGGGCAGTGGGTAGGTTAGAAGGGGAACCTTGTGGTAGGGGCCAGGTCTGGGGAGAAGGGGGTATCAGTCAGGATCAGCTAGGTTATGCTGCAGTAACAAACCCCGTATCTCAGTGGCTGAAAACAGTACAGGTCATTTCTTGCTCACGCTGTAGATCTATGTCAGTGGCAGGTCGTCTGGGGGCTTTGTGTCTCCTGTACTCTGTGATTCTGATTCACAGAGCAGACACGTCTCACGGGTTGCTGGTTGTTGTAGCAGAAGGACAAAGAGCTCCGGATCTTCACTGTCCAATGCTATAGCCACTAGCCTTGTTTGGCTGTTTAAATGTAAATGAATGAAAATTAAGTGAAATTTAAAATTCACCTACTCAGCCACACTAGCCACGTTCCCAATGCTCAATAGTTACATGTGGTTAGTGGCTACTGTATGGGACAGTGCAGCTAGAGGACGCTTCCATCATCACAGAAAGTTCCACTAGACAGTACCCTTCTAAATAGAGAGTCTCCTGCCGCCAATTTAATGCCCCCGCCCAGAACTAACATGCATCCTTCTTTTTGTAACTTGCACGAGGGCCAGAAAGTGCAGTCATACTATGTGCCCGCAAGGTGGGGACAATCAGAAGCATTTGGAGAACAAACGGCCACCAAAGAGTGGATCCTGAGTCAGATGTTGGGTCAGAGAGCAGAAGGGGAGAACTTGACAGATGACTGAGGCAGGCAGAGGGCAGCTTGGGGGGAATTCGAGCTGGTACGTGTGCCCTGGGACAATGCTTCCCAACCCCAGGCCTTGACCCTGCCCAGAAAAAATGCCCTAAGGAGTATGGTAGCCTAAGGGCTACATGCCTGACAGAGGGAGGGGTTAGGGAGACAGCAGGAGGGATTCGGGTGAGACTTATGGATAAACTCCCATTGGTCAGGAACCCTGAACATCCCCACAGAGGTGGGGGGTTCGGGAGTCTCCTGAGTAGAGCACAGCTGAAGCAGGCTGAGGTGTGCCATGAGGTTGGAAATATTCTGTGCCAAGGCTGGGGCATGGCAGACATGACCTCTAAAGGACCCCGCTGGATTGGAGAACTGGCCCAGAAAACTAGGCCTGGCCCTCCCCCTGCCTTTCCTGTTCACTTCAGCTAAATAGATCAGAAGGAAAAAGTCTGTTTGATTTTAATCTCAACGCAGGACACTGGAGATTACATTTTCCACGGAAAATGTCAGCCGTTGCCTAAAATAGGACCAGAAAATATATTTTTAGGTTATGTGTTTCCCTCCTGGATTTCTGCATCCCAGTGGGCTGCTTGATACTCTCCATGGTTCAGCTGCCGGATGCCCCAGATCCTCCGAACAGGTGGCCTGGGGAGAGGCCTCCCACAGGGAGAATGGTTGCGGGTATTCGAGCTCAAAACAGGTGGACAGATACAAGGACCTGTGCCAAGAAGGAAGAAGAGGAAGGGAGAGCCAGCCTAGGTTAGAGCCTCAGAGTCCGCGTTGTTGACAAGCTCCCAGGTGATGCCAGCGCTGCTAGCCCAGAGATAGGCCAATGAGTAGCAGGGCTCAGGGAGGCTCAGTCTGGGAGGAGCCTCAGGCATCGACAGAGCCTGACTTCAGCCCTTGGAGGGAGAAGCCCATTGGACTCCACCCTTTGAGTCCCAGCTCCTGTCCCTTCCCCTACTTGCTCTGTGACCTTGTTCAAGCCGCTTTTCCACTCTGGATCTCAGTTCCTGTACCTGCGGAACAGGGTGAGCATTCCTGCCCTGTCTCCCCTTTAGGCTGTTGGGAAGATTCAAAGACTCCAGGTAGTGAGGCAGCCGGCTCGCCTGGAATAAAAGGTCCTTCAGGAAATGAAGGAGATAAAAATAGAGCTTGTAAAGTGACAGCAGGTCCTGGTGGTGTTTGGGAACATCATTCCTCAAACTGTTCTACGGGTCACAGACCAGGCGTGTGGGATGGATCTTCATGGAGTTTGCCCAGAGTGGAGGGTTTGGGGGTGGGGTGGGGGGACAAGGTGAGACTCAGCCTCTAGGAACTTAACCATGGCAGGGTGCCTGGGGTGCTGGCTGCTGAGGTTGTGTCCAAGGGAACCCCCAGGTATGGGGGACTCAGCAGGCTGGCTGTGCTATAGACCTTGTCCAAGTATTCCCGGGGGACCAGGTAAGTCAGAAGTAGCCTGAGCTAAAATCAAGTAAAATTTTAAATTTTACTTAATTTTCATTCATTTAAATTTGAGGGAGGGGCTACCTTGCCATGGCCATAGAGGACATTGAACAGGATTGGGCAGCCGTCTGAGAAAGAGCAGTGCAGGGGAGCTATCAGCTCACTGGTGACCTTTGGGGTCCCTTCTCTTCAACAGTTTGCTCAGTTTCTCTGTGCAGTGGAGGAGGGTCTAGAAGGACCCATGTCCCAAGGTGAGCCATGCCATACCATGCCGTACCAGATCTTCCTCAACCAGAGTGGGGTGAAGCGAGGGGAGCAATGGAAGCCTCTGTGCTCAGACCATCCATTCTGTGACCTCAGAGAGCTGTGGGGACATCTCTCGACCATCATGGTGGTCTGGGTAGGCATAGTGGGGAGGGACTGCTGAGACTCCTCCACGGCCCCACTGCATAACCCGATTATCTCTTGTCTCCTCATGGCTCCTGTGACTGCCTGGATCCCACAGAGCTCCCAACTGAAGAAGGTAAGGCTTGGGCCAGGGTGGGCTGCAAGGCCACCAGGCAACATTCATGGGCCATTCACTGTCAGGTTGTAGCCTTCCCTCTCCCCAACAGAGTGAGGCTTTGCCAAGCCCTCCCCACCCCCCCAGTATCACCCACCTGTGCCTGTAGGGCCTCAGGCTCTCAGTCTTTAAATAGTATGGAGGGAGTGGGCCAGGTGGTCTCTGAGGCGGTGCCAGCTCTGAATGGGGGCAAGTCACTTGGTAAGGAATCCAGGCTTCACCTAGTACTCCGGTTCTCAGGGAAGTCCCTGTGGGAGCTGGTGCTGGAGCAGTTTGAAGACCTCCTGGTGCGCATCCTGCTGTTGGCTGCCCTGGTCTCCTTCGTAAGTAAGGCCCCCGTCCCACAGCATCAGTCTTCCTGGAAGGGAAGGCCAGGTTGGGGCAGTGCTCAGAGGCCCAGGCTCTGAATCACAGGTCTGTCCTCTTAGCCATGGGCATCCCTGGACCACTACACACCTCTTGCCTTGCTCAGACTTCAGCTTCCCTCAAAGCCTGCCTCCCCAGTGGTATTCCCTAGTTGTGACAATCAAATGTCTCTCGGGGTACCTAGGTGGCTCAGTTGGTTAAGCCTCTGACTCTTGGTTTCAGCTCAAGTCATGATGTCACAGGTTCATGGGATCAAGCCCTGCATTGGGCTCTGTGCTGACAGGACAGAGCCTGCTTGGGATTCTTTCTCTGTCTCTCTCTGCCCCTCCCCCCTCATGCGCATGCATGAGTGCACACATGTGCTGTCTCTCAAAATAAATAAATAAAACATTAAAAAAAAAGTCTCCCTATGTTGCCAAATTATCCCTGGTGGTGGAGAGCCCTTTCCATGGTTCCCAATGCCCCACAGAATTTGGACCTTAACCTCTTACAGCTTCTCTGTGGCTGCTTCTCCCTTTACTCTTCCGCTATTTTCACTGCCTGAAACCCTCCTGGACCTGTAGGATCAGGGGCCCAGGGTGGAGTTGGGGGGGGGGGGGGAGACGACGGTGATTGTCACTGATGGCTGAGCAGCAGAAACCCAAGGGTAATGCAGGGAAATGGCCCCCTGGGAGTGGACACAGTTCCTGCTGTTGGCCCTGTGCCCAGCAGGGCCTGGGGAGGAGACCTCATGTAGGTAACATGGAGTGCGGGGCAGCGTGGGCCCAGCCAGCTGTATCTGGCCTTCCTGGCAACTGTCCTTGTAGAAACTGAGGACTCCTCCAGAGGAAAAAAAAAACCCTATCTATGCAGGTGCCTACAACAGCTTAGCCAAAAGGGTGCTGATACTCCTCTACAGTACAGATGGACACACTGAGACCCGTGGAGGGGAGTAACAAGTACCCACTTGGGCCAAGAGGTGGGAATGGGACTTTAACCAGGTCTTTTGCCTCCAGGCCTGGACTCTGACTGAAATTATGCTTCTCTGGCCAGTGGACTTCAGGCATTAGTCCGCAATGGGATCAGCTGGGTTTGTTCAAACATAGACTGTTGGGGCCTCACCCCAGACTTTCTGACTCAGGAGAACTGAGATGGACCCTGAGAATTGCATTTCTAACAAGTTCCCAGATGCTGCTGCTGCCGCCAGTCTGGCATCACACTTGGAGAACCACAGCTGGGCATGCTGGCAGCTGTATAACCGCCCCTTGTCCTGAAAGTCGGCTGGGTGGGATGTGGGCCATGACAGTCACTCACTGCAAGAGCTGAATGTTCTAAGCCAGAGCCTCAGAGCAGCCCCCTCCGAGCCCAGGGCGCCCTGGGGGGGTCTCTCCCAAAGCAGGAGAGCAGACAGGAGATCCGGGGTGTGAAGGAAACGGTGAGCAGACCCTGGCGCACATCGTAGTCCCAGCTCGCCAACTCTCACTCCATAGGTCCTGGCCTGGTTTGAGGAGGGCGAGGAGACCACAACAGCCTTCGTGGAGCCTCTGGTCATCATGCTGATCCTCGTGGCCAATGCCATCGTGGGCGTATGGCAGGTGGGAGGTAGAGGTGGGCTGGACCCTGGGGTGTCCCAGCTGCTGGATGTGACCGCCACTTGGTGTTAGAGTCCCGCTGCAGGTCCTTCTGCTTCTAGCTGTATCCCAGGCCCCAAGGGTGTCATTACAAGGGGTCAGCCAGCTAGGGCCAATAGGGACAGACCACCTACCTGCCTCATATTCTGCAGGAACGCAATGCTGAGAGTGCCATTGAGGCCCTGAAAGAGTATGAGCCTGAGATGGGTAAGGTGATCCGCTCGGACCGCAAGGGCGTGCAGAGGGTCCGCGCCCGGGACATCGTCCCTGGAGACATCGTGGAAGTAGCAGGTACACTGGGGGCCTCTTTTCATTATGTGATGCTGGCGAGCCCATCCCTCCCTTTGTCCCCATCTTTCTGGCTGTATACACAGAGCGGGGTGGCTGCTGGATCCCTCCAAAGCTTTTTGGCCAAAACCCCGCTGGACAGATATGGAGACTGTAGGCCAGGGAGCAGCACCTACCTCAGGGATCACAGCTCAGGCCCTTGCCTCTCAGCCCCAGTCTTGGTTCCTGGGAGCTCTCCTGGCTTTGCTAGGGGGTGGTGCCTAAAGCCACGCTCAGCCAACCCTCTCCCCACAGTGGGAGACAAAGTGCCCGCTGACCTCCGCCTCCTCGAGATCAAGTCCACCACTCTGAGAGTGGACCAGTCCATCCTGACAGGTGAGGCCTGGAGGCTGGGGCTGAGCAGGGGCTAGGTCAGGGGGTGGGGGGGTCTTCACATAAGGCTTCTCATTTCTGATTCCACAACCAGGTGAATCCGTGTCTGTGACCAAACACACAGATGCTATCCTGGATCCCAGAGCTGTGAACCAGGACAAGAAGAACATGCTATTCTCTGTAAGTCCCTGGGATGGCTGGACACTGCTAATAAAAACAGTAACATTTAGATGAATCAGTTAAGCCCTACAAAAAGAACTTCATCGATTATTGACAATATGTACAAATTTATGGTGTTAGTGATAGCTTCTGTTTACTGAAGGCTGTGTGCCTGGCACTATTCTAAGCCCTTTACGTGTATTTATTCCTCACACTGCTTTTGAAATGAGTACTCTTATTCTTCACGTTTTCCAGCAAGGAAACAGGCACAGAGAGGGTAAGTAAATTGCCCAAGGTCACACAGCCAGTGAATGGCAGAGCTGGGATGTGAACTCAGACGCTCGGCGTCCAGAGCTTTTCCTCCTACCTGCTAGGCTTTACCCTGCCTTAATCTATAGAGGGACAGAGCTAGCCTATAATTTCCCAGTGGAGACGCCTCTAGAGAGAAGATGGTTGCCAAAGTGGTGGAGTATGGCAGAAACAGTTCATATCTCAGATGGGAAAACTGACCCCCTAAGGCAAGATGCCAGGGCCCGGTGGTTCTTTTCAGGGAGAGTGGTGGGTTCAGCCATGGTGGGAATGATATGGCCCTGTGGCCTCAGAGGTACTTAACCAGCGAAGGTTACAGGCCGCCCAGAAACAGCCAGAAGCTGAACACAGAAGCCACGATAGGTCAGGCCATTTGGCCATGTCCCAGGGCACCAAGTTATAGGGCTAGGAGACTTCCCCAGAAGTGAACAGAAATGGAGAACACAACATTTGCTCCGAGTTCTTTTTAAGAACTGCCTGCCTAGATGCATGGAAGCCTTGGACAAGCTGCTTTGGGGTGGGGAGGGACTTGACAAGGCATGCTCCAGCATCAGCAGCTGTCACTAAGCAGCCTTCTGAGGTGCACGCTCTGGCTAACTGCAGGTCATTCCCTTAGCTGAGGGGCCTGCAAATTGTGTGGGCAGGGGGATGGGAGAGTAGAAACTGCAATGCTCAGGACAAGAGAAAAGAAACTGAGGTTGCCACTGGCACCTACCTTTTCTCCAGCCTCAGCCCAGGACACCTGTCTGAAGGTGTTTTTAGCCCCCTCAGAGAAGCTCCTTTGTGGGACCATTTTATCAAAGAGGACACAGAGGCTCAAGGCTAGCTAGCCTTTACATCAGGACTTAAGGATTTTACCAGGGCCCTGGGAGTGGATGGACGTAAACTTGTTTTCTGGATTCTTCAGTAAATATTTACAGATTATTTACCTAGGATCAGTCAGCTTTGGCACTCCTACATGGCCACATTGGCTTTTTATGAATCACATTTTGGGGGATTGGTGTTGTGCTGTGCTGGTTGATCCTATCGTCAATATTGGCCTGGTGCTTCCCCATGCTAGTCACTGGGGACGTGGTGCTGAACCAAGCCCTTGCCTTCATAGAGCTGGCACTGTCATCAAGATGACAGCGATAGCTTGGTCCTACATAGCTGCATAATGCTGAGAGCACTAAGTGACACGGAGACAAAAAGCCTAGTAGGGGGATAAGCACCTTACGCCAGCCCGAAGGAGTCAGGGGTCCTCAGCCCTAACCAGGGTGCTAAGCAGCCCTTCTCACCTCTCCCTGGGCCAGGGTACCAACATCGCATCGGGCAAGGCACTGGGGGTGGCAGTGGCCACGGGCCTGCACACAGAGCTGGGTAAGATCCGGAGTCAGATGGCGGCAGTGGAGCCAGAGCGGACACCGCTGCAGCACAAGCTGGATGAGTTCGGGCGGCAGCTGTCCCGTGCCATCTCTGTGATCTGTGTGGCCGTGTGGGTCATCAACATCAGCCACTTCGCTGACCCAGCCCATGGTGGCTCCTGGCTTCGTGGTGCCGTCTACTACTTCAAGATTGCCGTGGCTCTGGCTGTGGCTGCCATCCCTGAGGGCCTCCCAGCTGTTATCACTACATGCCTGGCTCTGGGCACACGACGCATGGCACGCAAGAATGCCATTGTGCGGAGTCTGCCCTCTGTGGAGACGCTGGGCTGCACCTCGGTCATCTGCTCCGACAAGACAGGCACACTCACCACCAATCAGATGTCTGTCTGCCGGGTGAGTGGCTGCGGCCAGCTTGGGGCCCCACCGGTGTTGCCGTGTGGCGTTCAGCTGGTCGAATTCCCTCTTTGGGCCGCCCCTTGACTGCTCTTTGGCAGCGGCTGGAGGAGAGAGCCTGTGGGCTGCCCCATGGTGGGGAGCAGATCCAGGTTTTCCCGGGGCAGAGCAGCTAAGTCTGGCTGGACACGTGTCACTAGAGCCCACATGTCACTGTGGCAGGTCATTGCCTCTGAAGCTCAGTTTCTTCACCTGCAGTTTGGGTTTGCAAGCTTTGGTAGACAACCATAAAGGACACGGGAGGGGGTCAAGTGCAGCCTTGGCATCTGAGCCATGTTCTGTCCTGCTCCACTGTGACTCTGCAGTCAACGCCTGTCACCAGATATGTCAGCTCCAGTGACCTGGGAAGGGCCAGGGCAGGAATTATTCATTTCCTGGCACTCAGTCCCAGATCCTGGGCCTGCTGCCTGCATGCTCCAGGGATTCTGGCTGAGACTCCATGGGGCAGAGGGGTGGGTGGGGTAATGGTGCAGGTTGGGGGTTTCCCACCCCTCTCAGATTCTCCCATCCCCCTTCTCTCACCTCTGCTCCATAACCTGCCCACTGGGAAACTCAGGCTCTGTATCCGAGAACTTGAAGCCCGTCACAGGTTGTCACAGGGGAAGGGGCACCAGCAAGCTTTATATCCTGAGGCCCCTGACCTTTAAAATCTCTAGTAGGACCTCATTTGAACAGAGGGTTCCTTAACTGAAATAAAGATTTGAAAAACACACTATGGGGAAGTTGTAGAGGCCGTGCATGCTGGACAGGGGGCTGAGAAACGACTTCTCAAGAGTTATGCTGGCTGGAGGGCTGCCCCCTAGGAGCAGGGAGGAGAGCTCAAAGGAAGGGGCATTTATTTTTTTAAATTTTTTTTCAACGTTTTTATTTATTTTTGGGACAGAGAGAGACAGAGCATGAACGGGGGAGGGGCAGAGAGAGAGGGAGACACAGCATCGGAAACAGGCTCCAGGCTCTGAGCCCTCAGCCCAGAGCCCGACGCGGGGCTCGAACTCACGGACCGCGAGATCGTGACCTGGCTGAAGTCGGACGCTTAACCGACTGCGCCACCCAGGCGCCCCGGAAGGGGCATTTAGTGAGCACCTCCTGGGTGCTGAGCTGGCCATTGGCTTGGGAATGTAAGGCAAAGCAGTTTCCAGAAAGCAAGAGCTCTCCCTGGCAGAGCTGGCTGGCAGACAAGAAAATGGGCTGCCCGGGGAGGGGTGAACCCCCTGTCCCTGAAGTGCACAGGTAGGGGCTGGGTGACCCGGCAGGCCTAAGAGCACACTCTCTGGGAACACCTTTGGGCAGGAGGGTCTCTGCCTCCGAGCAGGCTGTGGGTTTCCTCCCTTGGAGACCAGGAACTCCTCCTTTCAAAGGGAAGAGAGGGGCAGCTCTAGTGTGACCCCACTCTCTTCTCATGTTACCGGTGGAGAAACTAATGCTCAGGTTCTCAGCCAGGAATCGCATAACAAAATGGGCAAGGACCCAGGCTTTCTGCCGCTCCTTCCAGAACATTGAAGAACCAGCCATAAACCCGTCAGGGGTCCAGAGCAGAGGCCCTGCCTCAGCCTGAACCCTACCCTTAACGCTGTATCTCTCAGACCTTGGCAAGAGGGAAGGCCAGTGGCTTTTCTGGGGGCCCAGAGAACCCCACCCTGTTATCAGGCTTTATTCAGGCCGGTTGCCCAAGGAGGAGAGAGGTGAGGGCTTGCCTGAGCATGCTTCTACGCTCCCCAGATGTTCGTGGTAGCCGAAGCTGAAGCAAGCTCCTGCCGTTTGCACGAGTTCACCATCTCCGGCACCACTTACGCCCCGGAGGGCGAAGTGTGAGTGCTGGGCGAGGGAGAGCGGGTGGGCGTGGTTTCCTGGTGAGCTGGGCTACACCGGACAGACGGCTCCGAGAGTCGTCAGTGGGCGAGGCTTCCTGGGGGCGGGATCAAGAAGCTGTGCGCCTCCCAGGGGCCGGGCCAAATGCCCCGGTACTGAGACCCAGCCCCACAGGAGGCAGGCGGAGCAGCTCGTGCGCTGTGGGCAGTTCGATGGGCTGGTGGAGCTGGCGACAATCTGTGCCCTGTGCAACGACTCAGCGCTGGACTACAATGAGGTGGGCCCCAGCTCCCTTTCGTGACCTCCCTAGTATCCAGGTGCCCAGGACAGACGCTTCTCTGAGTCTCAGAACTCCCAGGATTGGTAGTCCCTTACCCTTTGGAGTACCACACCCCAGGGGCACTGCCACCCCTGCACAATCCCCCACTGCCATTCCTTCCTCAGACTGGCTTTAGAACCAGTGCCCTAAGTGCCTTAGGGCTCTTGGACTGTGGGGGACTGTAATGTAAGGGACTGTAGTGCCAGGGTGCCTAGAGGAAGAAATAAGGGGAGCAGGGCTAGGGAGGGTGTTTAAAGTAGAAGGCACAGCCCGAAAAAGGCCCATAGGTCCTAACAGCCTGATGTGATGTAGGCATTGAGTGCCCTTGACTGCAGCTGGAGCAGTAGAATGGAACATGCAGGAAGACACTCCTACCTGAGGGAAGGACTTGACCACACCGAGTCAGGTCCCATAACAAGCTGAGGACAATAGTGAGCCACCAAAGGGTTTTGAGCAGGAGAGTGATAATGGTCAGATCTGCATTTACGAAAGATCAGGCTTCTATGTGAAGGATGGAACAGATAGGGCAAGACTGGATTCAGGAAGTCCTGTGTGGTCCTCCAGGTTGGAGAGTTGCTGGCCGGGGCTTCAGGGAAAGGGGAGAAGGCATAGGTTGGAGAGAGAATTAGGAACGAAACTCCTGGGACTTGGTGACTGGTTAGGTGAAAGAGTCGGAGGATAGCTCCTGGTTGGTGTCCGGGCTGGGACTGTCACTGGAATGGCAAATACAGGGGGAAGGGGAGGTGGCCTGAGGGTCAGTAAGGAACCAAGTCCAACAGGCAGCTTGGAGTTCAGGGGAAAGGTCACTGCCAGGCTGGGCACTGGAAGTCAAGCACATGAAAGGTGGGGGGAGCAGGGAGCGTAGGAGGCCTCAGGGAGAGAAGATGGGAGGGGAGAAGCAGGGACCGGACGGCAGGGTTTAGAAAGAGGAATCTGGGGAAGGAGGCTGGGAAGGAGCATGCGGAGCATGAGGTAGACGGCCGGGAGAACACATGTTCACTGATGTCAGGGAAGGGTCAGAAGGGAAGGGAAGCATCAGTGTCGGATGCTACCCAGACCTCATGTCAGCTGGGCTGGGAAGGGTCCAGAGGCCTGATGCAAAGGAGGTTTAAGGTAACTGGCCAAGGGAGCTCTAAGGGTCAGGGAGTGAGTGGGAGGTGAGGCTTGGGGGTCCACTGGAGGCTTTCCTGCTCTTCACGCCCTGTACTCTGGGCCCCACCAGGCTAAGGGCGTATATGAGAAGGTGGGAGAGGCCACGGAGACAGCCCTGACTTGCCTGGTGGAGAAAATGAACGTGTTTGACACCAACCTCCAGGCCCTGTCCCGAGTGGAACGAGCCAGTGCCTGCAATGCGGTGAGTAGAGTGAGAGCTCTGGCCACAGGCCTCATAGCGGGGGCTTCTGGGCGTCTAGAGAAGGGAGAGAGGAAGGCGAAATCATGGGAGGCTTCTGGGAGGGGGAGGGACGTCAGACACTAGTAAGACTTGGCTAGGAAGAAAAGACAGGAAAAGACTGAGTGTGGGCGAGGATTCAGAGTTGGGAAGTACACAGCATGGTCAGGAAGTGGCAACCTTTTGGCATTTCTCAGGCTGGAGAGGGAGATGGGGGCTTCCAATGCCAGGCTCAGAGGAGGATAGGCACCATCCCACAGGGAGCAGGAGGCTCTTCGTAGGATCGGGCAGCTGGAAAGAAAGCAGTGAGACTTGCTGGCTCTGCCTCTCACATCCTGACCCTCCTGGGCCCCGTAGGTCATCAAGCAGCTGATGCGGAAGGAGTTTACTTTGGAGTTCTCCCGGGACCGGAAGTCCATGTCAGTGTACTGCACGCCCACTCGCCCTGGCCTGGCAGCCCAGGGCAGCAAGATGTTTGTGAAGGTGGGGCCTGCCTAACTGGCCTAGGGCCGCTGCCCATGTGGAGTCCCTGGGAGATCCGATCTCCAGTGTTCTAAAGAGCCAGTGACTGCAGCTGTGGGAGACCAAGGGAGCTGTGAGGCCCACGGTCAAAGCAGCGGATCCAGAACGAGGGTGGTCAGCCTGCCGTGGGGCACTGGGAGCAGGATCTGGTCTTGGTGGAGATAAAGCCGGGGCTAGGCACCAAGGCCTGCCCCTCACCATGGTCCCAGCCCTGGGCTGAGAGGCACTGCCTCACCACATGACCTTGGGGTCACCTTTGCTCTTCCATGGGCCTCAGTCTCCCCATCCAAATGGCAGGATCAAGCTGGAAGGTCTCGGAAGCCTTTCACCTCTGATGAGGGGCATTGAGGTAGTTGGTGCCCATCTTTGGTGCTTCATGTTTTGGCAACTGAGTCCTAGAGAGGGAAGTCTCCCATCCAGACTTCTGCCCATAGCACTGTTACTGTCACTGCTTTTCAACCTGAAGTAGGAATCACAGCCCTAACTTCATGCTGAAGTGGAAGTTTTAACTTCTTTTGAAATGAAAAGGCTTCTGTATTGGGATCTCAGGCTACTTTGAAAACTTAGCCACTTTGAAAACTCTCCTCTCTTTTGGGGAGAGGGAGAAGGCATGACGAAGGGCTCAGAAGCTATTCCCAGGCCCGGGGTGAGACCCAAGGTGAGACCCCAAGGCTACTGAGGAGCCTGTCACTCCGTCACATTTTCCCAGGGCCACACCCACCACCCCTCAGCATGGCTGTGTCTCTGGTCCCCAGGCAGGGCTCAGTCTGCTTCCCGTTGCTGAACCCCCCTACAGAATTGGGATCCTGGTAGCACCAGGTTGGCAGGGAAACAGGGCATGTAGGAGGACTGCCAATCCTATTCCCACCCCCTGCCCCAGATGCTGTAGCAGACCTTCTCAGCTCTGGATTGGTGGGGGGAGGGGGCCTCCCCACGGGCAGCCACTACCCCCCATTCCTTTTGGGTTTTTCCCAGTGGGGCCCCCTTGGTTTCCACTCTGAGCTTCCAGAGAATGGATTCTGGTCCATGCCTTGCTGTGTGTCCCCTTGGATGCCCTTTTCCCATTTCTGGGCCTCAACTTCCTCTGTTGGGCAAGAGGGAAAGGAGGGGTCCTAACTGACAGAGTTACCTCTCCCCTGCCCCGTGACGCAGGGGGCTCCTGAGAGCGTGATCGAGCGCTGCAGCTCAGTCCGAGTGGGAAGCCGCACAGTACCCCTGAACGCCACCTCCAGGGAGCAGATCCTCGCCAAGATCCGGGATTGGGGCTCCGGCTCAGACACACTGCGTTGCCTGGCACTGGCCACTCGGGATGCACCCCCAAGGAAGGAGGACATGCAGCTGGATGACTGCGGCAAATTTGCGCAGTACGAGGTGCGTGCCAGGGCAGGGCCCAGGGTTGGGAGCCACGTGTCTCCCTGCCAGGGCCGGGCAGGTAGCAGCTTGAGCGTGGGCCCAGGCCCCACTTGCATCTGCGCCCTCCCTACAGATGGACCTGACTTTTGTGGGCTGCGTGGGCATGCTGGACCCTCCAAGGCCCGAGGTGGCTGCTTGCATCGCACGCTGCCACCAGGCCGGCATCCGTGTGGTCATGATCACAGGGGACAACAAAGGCACAGCTGTGGCCATCTGCCGCCGGCTTGGCATCTTCAAGGACACAGAGGATGTGGTGGGCAAGGCCTACACGGGTCGTGAATTCGATGACCTCAGCCCTGAGCAGCAACGCCAGGCCTGCCGCACAGCGTGCTGCTTCGCCCGTGTGGAACCTGCACACAAGTCCCGAATTGTAGAGAACCTACAGTCCTTCAATGAGATCACCGCCATGGTGAGGCCACAAGATGGGAGCCTAGTGGAGGTGGTGAGGAGTTGGGAGGGGGAGGAGGGTCACTGACCGTAGAGCTTGGAAAGAGCAACCCGTACAACATCTGCCCCTGCTTCATTCTTATTTTTTCGGCATTTTATTACAAAAAGTCTCAAGCACAAAAAGAAATTAAAATAGTTTTTCAGTAAACATCTATAATATCCACAATCTACATTCTACAAGTAACGTTCTGTTATATTTGCTTTGCACATACCTATCCATCTATCCATCCTTAATCCAGCTTTTCTTAAGTAAATTTCAAAGTAAATTGCAGGCATCAGTACACTTCACCCTCACATAATTTAGAATGCATACTCTATCTAGAGAGCAGCATTTCTTTGTGGTTCTATTTTTTTTCCTTTTTGAGGTAAAACTAACATGCAATGAAATGCACAAGTCTTAAAGCATAGCATTCACTTGACATGTTTTGATAAATGCAGACACACCTTTGGGTGTCATCCAAGCTCTTATCAAGATAAGGAATATTACCATGGAGACATGAAGTTCCCTCATGCAGCTTCCCCATCAGGACCCTCTCCCACGACAGGCCATTTTTCCACCATAGATTGTCTGTCCTAGATTTTCACGTGAATGGAATCATATAGTATGTATTCTTGTGTGTGGCTTCTTTGTTTTGAAATTTATCCACGTGGCTTTGGGTATCAGTAGATGATTGCTTTTTTTTTTTTTTTTTTTTTAGCATTGAGTAGCGTTCCACTGTGACTCAGTTTACTTATCTATTCACCTTTCAATGGACATTTTGTTTGGGCCCAGTTTTTGTTTTGTCTTATTCTTGATTACTAACCTATTCATCAACACTCAGCTGACTCTTGAACCCAGTCTCACCCCTGACCTGGCCTCTGTTGACCTCCAGCCCCCAGTTCTTTACTTTAATGCTGACCTGTGATCCAGTCTTGACCTTGATACTGAGCTGGGCACCAATCTTGACTTGACCATAATTATAATCTGGTTCTTGACTTTATTTTGACCTTCATATTGACTTGGTCCCTGACCTTGAACTTGACCATCTTAATCTGATTTTTACTTTGGGTCAGCCCTAAATGGGCTGCAGTCTTGACCTGCACCCTCACCTGATCCTTGACATTGACCTTGACCTCCAACCCAATACTTTTTGTAGACCTCAACTTTATGTGGCCTCTAATCTTCACCTTGACTGCAATTCCAACCTTGTCTGTGACATCACTCCTGATGTGGGCCGTAACCTTGATTTGACCTTTGGCTTGACCTTTGCCTTAGTCTAGTTTTTAATTTTGAGTCTGAGTCCAGTGTTGACCCTGACCTTCACCTTGGCTCCAGCCTTTACCTTAACTATAACACCCACCTGATCCTTTGCCTGGGCCACAACCTTGACCTCATCCCTGACTTAACCTTAACTTTGCCCTTAACCTCAGCTTTGTATTTTATACCACATCCAACCTGAATTTCATCTCTATCCTCACCAGTGACCCACTGTCATCCCCAACTCCACCCTCACCATCTTCTCTGACCTTAGAATTGACCTTCTCTTCAAATTTGTCCTTGTCTGCAATGCTTGGCTTCCCCCTCAGCCTCATACCCCAGCCCAATCTCTGAGCTCATTCTCAACCTCACCATTTGTTTTGTTCAGCTGTCTGCTTCCTTGGGGACATCCCCTGAGCTTAGGGATAGGCTTAGTTGAGAGGAGTCAAGGAGGTAGAAGAGAAGTTTCTCAGGCATGGTCCTACCTACCTTGGCCCCTAGACTGGAGACGGGGTGAATGATGCCCCGGCTCTGAAGAAAGCAGAGATTGGCATTGCCATGGGCTCCGGCACAGCTGTGGCCAAGTCGGCAGCTGAGATGGTGCTGTCAGATGACAACTTTGCCTCAATTGTGGCTGCAGTGGAGGAGGGCCGGGCCATCTACAACAACATGAAGCAATTCATCCGCTACCTCATCTCCTCCAATGTCGGCGAGGTTGTCTGGTAAGGCCCTGCATTTCCTGTTCCCAGCCCTCTGGACCAGCTCTAGGTCACTAAGGGAAATGCCTCTTCCTCAGATGGGGCTGCAGGGATAGAGGAACACATGCCCTGCCCTGGAGGCGGCGTTCTAGGACCTCATCTCAAGGAGGGCAGGGCCTCGTCATTCTTCCAGAGGCCTTGGTGCATCCCGGCCCCCAAGGAGATACCTAAAAAGTCCCTGTCATCCCTCTAGCCATAATCCCCACATTCACAGTTGCCAAGATGGGAGAACTAGCGCTGCTCTGGGGCAGTAACATGTTCACGTGTGTGTGTGAGTGTGTGCACACAGGTGTGTGCCAACATGGCGTGTGTACCCGAATGAAAGGTGTGGGTAGCCATGTGCATGTGTGCTCTTGTGCATCTTGAGGCATAAGCAGAAGCACGGAGGATTTGTGCCAGCATCTAATTTGTACACATTTAGGTTCACGTGTGAGAGATGCCTGTGGGGGATGGTGAGCACATGTTTGCTTGGACACATGTGACTTCTGTCACCTCGGCTTGTCCGGGCAAGCATGTAGGTGTTTGCTTGTGTTTGTGCGATTGTATGGCCTGTGCTGTATTTACTTCTGTCTGTGAACAAATTGTATGTGTTCAGGCATGCATTGTCCACATGTGTACATGCCCTAGAGAGGAGTTCTGGCCTAAACAGGAGAGGCCTAAAGAGCAGAATCATCCAGCCTCCAGAGCTGAGATTAGGAGGCACGAGTGGTCCAGTGTGAAGCAGAGCCGTGTATATGCAAGTCTCACTTGTGCACACACATAAGAACTAGAACAGTGAGGTGGGGCTCCTGTGAAGACAGTAGGTGAGCTTCCCAGTCTAGAGTGTGAGGAGGAGCTGGGCTCTCCAGTTGCTGGGCCCTAGAGCCTCTGACCCTGGTTCCAGCATCTTCCTCACGGCAATTCTGGGCCTGCCGGAAGCCCTGATCCCTGTGCAGCTGCTCTGGGTGAACCTGGTGACAGATGGCTTACCTGCCACAGCCCTGGGTTTCAACCCACCAGACCTGGACATCATGGAGAAGCTGCCCCGGAACCCTCGTGAGGCCCTCATCAGTGGCTGGCTCTTTTTTCGATATCTGGCTATTGGAGGTGAGTGGGGCCCCAGCCCTCAGTGGGGTTTCAGGAGCTTCCTGAGAGCTTCTATCAGGGATCCTTGCAAACTGCAGACAGTATGACTCAGCCTGGCATAGGCCAAAGGAAGCTGTGTGGGCTCATCTAATGGAAAATACTGGAGCATTCCTCAGGCATGGCTGGATCCAGGCCTCAGTATCACTGGCCTATTTTGGCTCTGCCTCAGCTCCATTCTCGGACAGGTGCTCCTTGAGATGGAAAGATGGCTGCTGCAGCTGTAGCCCTCATGTTTACTCTCTTACAACCCCCAATTCAGCAGAAGAGAGAGTGTCCGTCAGTAATATGATCAAAGTCTCAGGCCTGTTCTTGGCCCACATTGGGCCACCTGCTTATCTCCTAGCCAGTCACCGTGGCCAGGGGTGTGGCAGATGTTGATTGCCAATCAGGGCCCACCACTGTCACTAAGGGTAGGTGCTATAAACCACATGGCTCAGAGAGGGAGAGGGCGGTTCCCTGACAGAAACTCAGGGCATTTTTAGGAAGGGGAAATGGATGCCAGAAAACCACAGCTCTCCACTATAGCCAGCTTCCTCCTGCCCTCCTTGCAGTGTACGTAGGCCTGGCCACGGTGGCTGCCGCCACCTGGTGGTTCCTATATGATGCCGAGGGACCTCACGTCACCTTCTACCAGCTGGTAAGCAAGGATGGCCAGGGACTCTGTTGGGGTTATTTCTGAGGTAGAACTCACTGCCGAAGTTGTTGGAGCTCCAGGGGAAAGGGATCTGGAACTCCACGGTTAGCCAATGGCTGTCCCTCCCTACCCCCATACACTTACATAGACATCCACCATCTAAGGAGCCAAGCTCAGAAGCCACTGGAAACCTAGAGATAGCAGCCCAGCCCCAGAGCCAGAGAAGTGGTTACTGCTTCTCCCAGTCATTTGGTTAGGGGGCTGCCACGGGGCATAAATGCCCAGAAGTATCTTGCCTTTATCGGGGAACCCCCAAAACATTGAGGGTTCAGAGATATGTAGAACTTCAGGTGGAGGGTCAATAAGGAGATTAAGAGGGGCACCTGGGTGGCTCAGTTGGTTAAGTGTCCGACTTTGGCTCAGGTCATGATCTCACGGTTCGTGAGTTCAGGCCCTGCGTTGGGCTCTGTGCTAACAGCTCAGAGATTGGAGCCTGCTTTGGATTCTATGTCTCCCCCTTCACTGCCCCTCCCCCACTCACGCGCTCTCTCTGTCTCTCTCTCTTTCTCTTTCTTCAGAAATAAATATACATTAAATTTTTTTTTTAAATAAGGAGATTAAGAATGGAGGGAAGAATCTGCCAGGCTCTCCCTCCCCACCCCACCCCTGTAACAACATGCTTCTCAAGAGAGGGATCCACTGACCTCTCGAAGTCACCTAGCTGGTACATGCCCACCACAGGGCTGGCTTAGCTCGGCACAGCTCTGAACTGAGCAAGCAAGGAGACCCCTCAGCTCTGTCTGTCAATCTGACCCTCTGTCTGGGCATCTCCTTTGCTTGAAAGAACCTTGGCAGTGAATCTGGCAATGTCAGTTTTGGAATTCTCACGTAAAGCTGAGAGCTGCAGGGATTTGGGATCTTTTTCCTCTGAGAGTGTTTGTCTTCATTACCTTCTTGTAGATAGAAGAGCTCAAAAGAGGGACCTGACTCATTGCCCCATCCTGCCTGGGGAGGCTCTGTGATGATTTCAGGCATTCTCGCAGTGTTCGTATCTAGGTACAGTCAGCTCAGGGACGCTTTTCTTGTACCCACCAGCCCTGAAGCTCATGGGCTCTCCTTTCTTGCAGCAGTGCAGAGCATAGGCCCATGCCCTCATCCCAAAAGGCTCGTGCCCCCGAACCCTTGGCAGAAGGCTCGGGCCAGCCTCAGGCACCTCTGCTCATTTAGCTCCTGTGGGAGCAGCAAGATGCAGAGCAAGGGCGTGCTCACCATCCCGCTGCTGCCTTCTTCCAGCATTGTCTCAGTTAACCTCCTTTATCTATAGATCTCAAATCTCCCAGGATCCCCCTCTCCCCCGCCACTGCGCTGTCTCAATGTTTCTTCTGAGCCCAGTCCCAAAATTCCAGCTGGATACCTCCCCTGGGATGTCCCACAGGCCCATTGTATTCACTAAGTCCAAGATCAGATCTATCACCTTTCCCCAGATAATCCCTTTCCTTCATCCCCATCTCAGTTCTACTGCCTCCCTGGTCACCCATGCCAGCCGGACAGCTGGGGGTCGTGGTAGACACATACACCACGCCCACTACGAATTAGTCACCAGTCCCCTTGGTGCCAACTTCCCAACTGTCCTCAGGTCATTCCATTTCTCATTCATCCATCTGGTTAAGAAATGGCTATTAAGCACCAACTGTATGCTAGGCACAAATTAGTAGTGACCAAGCAGGCAAAGTCTCTGGAAAGAGCTGGGAAGAGCATGGCAGTGGGCGTTCACATTTTAAGGTGAGAAGTGCTGCAGCAGAGAATGCAGGTGTCTCTGAGACTTGGAGGTGGTCAAAGGTTAGACCTAAGGTAGAACTTTCAGCTTCAGATGCTGGAATTTCAGCAGAACTGACTAGAGCCCTCTCCCCCTCCCCTGCCTGCTTGGTTCCTGAAGAAAGCTGTCAAAAATGCAGCGGTGACTAAGAGCACAGAGTATGGAGCCTGGATCCAGGCTGCCCGGGGTTCAAACCCTAGTGCCACCACACACCAGCTGTGTAACTCTGGACAGGCTACTTAACCTCTCTGTATTAGTTTCCTTATCTACAAAATGGATAATAATAGAACTGCCTCAGCCTCATAAGGCTATCAGGAGGATTAACTGAGTCAATGTTTGTAAAGTGCTTAGACCAACATCTGGCACATAGTAAGAGCTACGTACAGATGAACTAAGTTAATGAAACACAGAGGAGGCCTTGCAGCACAAGGTAAATAGGAAATAGCCAGAGAGGCAAAGGGAAGGAATAGGCAGAACAGTGGCTTCACCCAAAGAAACAGGCCCCCACCACCATAAGGCTCATGATGAAACTAGGAGACTGAAGTTTCAGCCCGATGTACCTTCTAATCAATTCAGGAGGCCACTCTATGACCCATGACCTGGGGCATAATGTACGCATGTGGCAGAGGCACACAAGTAAAACCCAGAAGGTTTAAACTGGACAGTGTATTTATCTATTGAAACCTCTTAGTGTGATCCTTTTTGTATTTTTTCCCTGTGCACATGCATAAGGATCTAGGCGTGCACATGCCTGAGTGGGAGGTGTGTATACGGCATTTGTATGTACATGTGTACACAGGCCATTGAGATCTGGAAAGGCGGGGGGGTGGGGGGGTGCTGACCACAGTGACACAGCAGGCAGGGGCATTTGGTCTTCTTGCTCTATGATCAGTGCCAAATAAAAACGTGCATTTGTCCCAAATACTGGAGCTCGATTTGGGGAGAAAATCCCACTGCTGGCTTAAATGAGATAAGAACCTCCATCTCTTTGTTAAAATAAGAAATCTGACCAAGCCTTAGTCTTTTGTAATTTTTTATCCTGCGTGAGGGAGAAAAGGAAAGTGCTAGCGGCCCCTTCTGGCTGAAAGTCACCTTACCCATATTTATGCAGTGTGGGAAAACAGGGATGTATTTACTGGACAGGAGCTCAGACAGCCGGTCATTTTACAGGCTTCTCTTTGAGGGTTATTTTCACAGCATGTGATTCCAGTTTCTAAACCTTTAGCTTAAAAGATCTCTGTGTTCAGAGGAGAGTCCAGAGAACAAATTTATATTGTTAGAGAACAGAGCTGTTTAGCAGTTACGAACATTCACACTCATCCCAGTAATGCAAAAGAGAACAAGCCAGAAGTTCTCATACATGGCCTCAGCTCAGCATCTTATCACAGAAGAATCTGCGAGCAAAGTTTATGAACAGGAAGAAAACTCTCCCCCGGGGACTGCAAGGGCAGGAGCCACTTCCCTTATCAAGCCCCGAGAGCTTCTTCTTAATTATGAAGAAGCTGTGTAGTAAGCCTGCACCTAGCAATTCATTAATCCATGTTGTAAGCAAAAGGCAAGTGTGGTAGAGCTCAATTTCAGTGGCAGAATTGGAGGGAAGTATGAGTGGAATCTTATTTAATGGTGATTGGGAGTACATGCAGCCTTTGTCTACCCACCAAAGGTGAATTCTATTCAAACAATTTGGCTGATTGGTTTTCATATGCATTTATTTATTCTGTGGTCTCAGGTAATCACCACTCTCAGTCCTGCATCCCCAGTATTCAGGGCTCCCCCAAGCACCTTCAGGGTAATGCCTGCATCCTCCCTCTGATCCCAGGGCCCTCTGCTGTCCTCCCCATCCTAATGCTAGCTTCTCCTTTCTCTGGAACAGTGTAGTCCCTCTGACCCCATCCTGGGTAGGCACCCCTCCTTGGGCCCACCCCATGGCAGCACCCTGCCCACTGGTTGTATTATGTCCTCAGATATAGGCTGAGGACGGAGTGAGGCTTCCCTCTTCCCCCACACTGGCCCCTCCCTGACCACTGTTCTCCCCAACCCCACCCAACCCCACCTTGGTGCCCTCAGAGGAACTTCCTGAAGTGCTCCGAGGACAACCCACTCTTTGCTGACATTGACTGCGAGGTCTTCGAGTCACGCTTCCCCACAACCATGGCCTTGTCTGTGCTGGTGACCATTGAAATGTGCAATGCCCTCAACAGGTGGGCTGGGCTGAGGGGCCCGGAGTGGGTTGAGGGATGGGGGGTGAGGCCTAAGTGTGGGGGCTGAGGATCAGAGGGGTCCAGAAGAGGGTTTTGAGGATGAGTGGGGCCAGAATTGAGATCTAGGGAACAATGAGGGCCAAGATTGGGGTCTAAAGAAACGGAGGGGCCAGGATTGGGTCTGAGGGACAGAGAAAGGAGGTTCAAGCTCTAAGGACAGGCTGCTGGGGGGCTGAGCAGACAACTGTGACACATCCCTCCCAGCTGCACTGGCCTCCCAGAAGCACTCCAGCCTACAGGCCCAATTAGGGAAATTCTGAGGCTCAGGCCACTCCCTGCACCTCCACGTGGGTGGATGGGTGCCCACCGCAGGGCCTGCTCCCATCCTGGCCCAAGATGAGTATCCTGTACCATTGGCAGCGTCTCGGAGAACCAGTCGCTGCTGCGGATGCCACCCTGGCTGAACCCTTGGCTGCTGGCAGCTGTGGCCATGTCCATGGCCCTGCACTTCCTCATCCTGCTGGTGCCACCCCTGCCCGTGAGTTTCTGCCCGACTCCAAACCCCTTCTGCAACAGGGTCCAAACCTTCCTTTAACATTTCTGGCCCTGGGTTGGTCACTGGGCCTCTGTGGACCCTTTTGCTATGGAAAGCCTGGAGGACTGGGAGTGGGGAGATCTGAAGGTGCTTGGTGCACACAGCCTGTGCTTCAGGAGCCCTCAGACTTGGGGAACAGAAGAGGTGGAGACCAGACTTCTTGTTCTGGGGAATTTCCCAAGGCTAGGGCAGGAGGAAACACTATGCTCTTCCCCAGTACAGAATGCCTCCCACTTCTCAACAGGACCAACAGGACTTGGTCCTTGGCTAAGGGCAGGGGAGGGCACTTCTGGCAGGGGAGACAGAGTGGACAAAGATCTGGAGGTGGGACCTCAAGGAGCATCTTGGAGTTGCTCATGTCGGGTCCATTGCAGCCCAGGTGTACGAAGCAGGTGGATCGCGGGGACATGAGAAGTCCTTCCCTTAACCAAACCTCCCCACTCCCCAGCTTATTTTCCAGGTGACCCCACTGAGTGGGCGCCAGTGGGTAGTGGTGCTCCAGATATCTCTGCCTGTCATCCTGCTTGATGAGGCCCTCAAGTACCTGTCCCGGAACCACGTGGATGGTGAGTAGGAAGCCCCAGACCCTCCCCACCCTGCTTGCCTCTAGCCTGTTTCCCTGCCCACTTCCCTGCCTGCCTCTGCTCCCAGGCGGCAACGGGCTGGTGCCAGCTTCAGCCTCCCTGTCTATACAGAGAAAGAAGTATTCTTGGATCACCAAGTAGAGGGCAAGAAGGGGCTCTGCTCTGGTGGCTACGACTCATGATACCTGCAGGGTCTTGTGCTACAAGGGCACAGCCAGCAGGATCACTACTCAGGGCCATGCTGCCTCCCTCTCCTCACTTGCCATCCACCCTGCATGGCCAGGCCCAGTGTGCCCTTCTCTGGGCCTTGGCCTCTGACTTCTCTGAACCCAGCCTGTCTTAATGCAGATATTCTCAGGGCAGTCTCCCAGGCATGGAGTGAGCAGCCACTGACCACCTCCAGGATCCCAGACCACACTGGATTGGCCTCTTTGGTGTTACCCTGTAGGAGGGTGGACGAGGGCGTTCTCTGTTTCTAAGCTCACTGCTCTGGGTCTGCCTTGATCCAGTAATAGAGGAAGAATGGCAGGGTCAGCATTGGAGGCAGTGTTTAGAGGAGGGGGCTGGGGCATGGCATCCATCTGCCAGCTTCCGCTGGTGGAGGAGCCTGAGAGAGTAGGTGATTCTAACCTCCCAAGGACAAGGGAGGCACCATCTTCTCACTCCAGAGCTGCCTAGAAATGGAAGAAGGCAGGGATGAGAAACTCCCTGTTCCTGGGAGTTTGAGCCAAGGCAGTAGCCCCGTGGCCAGATTGCTAGGGAGGGTCTGGATTAGTCCCAGCCATAGCCCAAGGCCTGCACTGGAGCAGCTGGGTCCTTGAGGGTCATCTCAGGCAGGAATGTGTCACGGCCCCAGGGGAGGGAGCCTGGAGTTGGGGGGAGGGCTATAAATAGATCACGTGCTTGTCATTCCATAGGGGCCAAGGCGATCAATCGGCTTCTGTCTCACACTGGCCAACCCTCCTAGACGCTGTAAACATTTTATCTTATTAAAGAGGCTAAAGCAAGTTGGCCTTCTTTCTCTGGAGAAGCTGGCCCACCACAGGTCTGTCCATAGTGTGACCAGACCATTTGGAGGTGGAAGTAGGTGCTCAGCCAAAGCAAGGCCTTGTTGGGACCCACGGGTGAGGTAGCGGGAGCCAGACAAGGCATTGTGCCCCCAGTACGGTTCTTTCTGACCCACCCACCGTGGACACTCCTAGGGAGCTGAAGAAGGAGAAATAGGACTGTCACCTAAAACTCCACCCTTGGGGGCCCAGGGCTTCTCCATTTCTGGCTGAAGCACAGAGGCCTTGATCACGCTAACTCACCTGGGAAGTCAGGCCTCATTGGCAGCTGGGGCAGTTTCTCTGTCTTCCCTGAGAGCCTTCCCTAGCAGCCATATCTGCTAAGGAGTTCAGCACATTTTCTTGAGAAAACTTAGAAGTGAGAAAATTTCTCAGCCAATGGGGAAAAGCCTGTGTTCGGCACCGGCTGGCACATGGTAGAAGCTTCCTGGCCTGAGAGGAGGGAAGGCCCCTAACAGGACAGGGCAGGTTGGAAGGGCTAGGCAAGAAGCAATCCCTGCTGGCTAAGGGTTGCAGATGGTTTCCAGAGGAGACAAGATCTAAGCAGAGGTTCAAATGGGGAGGATGGAACTTGGGGGTGAAAGGGCTGGGCTAGCATGGCTTGGCGTCTCTAGTGGGGCTGGGGCTCAGAGTGCAGGGTAGAGAAGTGAGGCTACAGTGTGGAAAGGGCCTCGAGTGCCAAGGTAAGGACCCTGGGCGTTATCCTCATGGCAGTGTGAGCCACAGAAGGGTAGAAGCATGGAAGGGACTGGGGTAACCATGGAGGACAGATGGGAGGATCAAAGCCGGGAGGCTGATGAGCTGTGTTGAGCTGGTCTAGGGGGAGACACTGAGTCCCAGCCCAGGGCGAACTGGTCCTGGGCAACACCTCCACCTCCACCATTAACCTGAGATGTTGACTATGGTTCTGGTGAGGCTTGGCTTGAAAGGGCGGTACCCTGCTGTAGGGAGTGGCTATGGGGCCCACGGGAAAGACTCAGGCTGGGCACCTGCAGCCACATCTGGGAGGTGGCCTGGTGTGTGCCTGCCACGAGTCCAGACAGCTCTGCCCTGTGTGGCTGCAGAGTCCCTTGGGCCTCCTAAAGCCGGATGGGGCGGGGGTGAGAGAGGGGACCCTGTTACATTCCCAGCCAGCCTGGTGGCCTTTTAGGGAAGTTTTACTGAGGCCTGATACTTATAAGCTTCCCTATGATTTATGAGGGATGTGTCCTGGGGAGAATTGCAGATGCCGGGTCATCCGTAGGGGGTAGGCGAGGCGGGGGTGGTCCTCTTGCCCCATCTCTTGGCCATACCTAGGTGTGACTGAGCAGCTGTCAGGCAGAAGCCAAAGGGCCAGACCGAGGGGAAGGGAGGCCTAGAGGAGCTGATCTGGGAGAGTCCAGAATGCGAGGGGGGCTTGCACTTTATTCTGAAGGCAATGGAGAGCCATCAAAGGGGATGACAGGCTGGATTTGTAATGTGATGCCAGGGGCAGGAGGGTGATGGTGAGGTAAGATGGGGGCTAAGAGCAGGGCTGAGAGGAGTTGAGGCATGGGGCAGCAGGAGGAAGAGAACTCGAGAGACGTCGGTGGTAAACTCAGCAAGCCTGAGTCTATGGGATGAACAAAGAGTTAATGCCACCAGTTTCTGGATGTCGTCATGCTAGGTATGGTTCCCCAAACTGAAAACTGAGAGGAAAATATGCCCTGGAGGTGTTGATAGAACATGTAGAGTGAAGGAGGCCCAGGGGGCATCAGGGAAATGTGCCCGGGCAGCAGCTGGATATGTGGAGCTGCATCAGAAGACTCAGTGGAACTGGGTCCCCTGACTGATACCGTGGGAGAATGCAGCTGTCCCGAGAGAAATGGAGGGTGGGAGGGGCCAGACAGAACCAGTCTGGCTCTGTACCGTCACACGTACATCTCAGCATACTCTTGGGTCTTTCTTCCAGAAGAAAAGGACAAGAAGTGAGTGCTGGGAACAGAGTGGAGTCTCCAGTGCGTACCTCAGCCTGATGATGCCCAAGCGTTCACTCCTACTCCCCACACTGCCGTCACGCTCACCGCTTGCTCACTGGGCCCTGCCGAGGGTCTCTGTCCTTGCTTCCATATGCATGGGGGCTGTGCAACTCATGCCTCTGGGACTCTCCTGGGAAGTTCACCCCTGACGTTCCGGCTCCAGAGCAGCAGCCTAGGAGGGGCCTGCCCAGAAGCCAGAGCTGGAAGCAGATCCAGACATGCAGAGGCCTCTACCCCCAAATCTATGAGCACATTCTGGAGCAGGCACCCCCTTGCTTGGAGGCTGGGCATTTTACTTGGTCACTGGTGCTTCTGTACTGATGGAGGACTCCTGGAGTTCCTGCTAGCTCTGACCTCTCACTTAGTGCCTGGTCTGGGGCCTGGTCAGCGGGACGGGGGGCGGTGAAGGGGAGGACATCTGGGCCCAGCTGTGCACAGTGAGGGCAGACAACCCCCCTCCACTCTGCTCTTTTCCCACAAAGTTGGCACGTGAGGGTTTGAGCCTCTTACTGTTTATATGTGCAGGGGGTTGAAGGGTCAGTGGGAGGGAGATGGTAGTAGCGGGGGGGGGGGGGGAGGGGGTAGCTGGGTAAGGATCCCCTTCCCAGGAGACAGCTGGCTTGGCTGCCTCAGTTCTGGACACTCCCAGACTGAGATTTCCCTGTCCTAAGCAAATGAGACATGCCAAGTCTCGTTGCTGTCCAGTCTGCCGAGCAGAGGCTGGATTTGCCCTCCATGTCCCTGGTGCCTAAGGCCCCAGACATCCTTGGGTACCTGATCACTGTGCCCTCTCAGCTCAACCCTGTGTGCACCATCCCACAGTCTGCATGGCTGGGTGATTCTGAGTCGTCTAGACTCTTGGCCTCACTCTTCACCTCCAACCCCACATATCCGTGAGCTGAAAGGATGTTACTAAGAATGGCTAGTTACCCAACAGCACTTACTCTCCCTCCCTCATTGCTGGAAGAATGTGTGTCCATTGTGGATCATGTTGGATGATGGGAAAAGAGCGTTTGATGGACATAAATGTTCTTTTAATTCGGCTCTTGCCCCTCTGGCCAAAATTAGGCATGGAAGAAAACAGTGGGTCAATGTACATCCTCACCCCTCCTGGAGAGTACACCAAGTGATTCTTTTATGTGTAAATCAAGACTCACATCCCCGTCCTGGTCCCCAGAATCAAAAAGCCCCCTTAGCCTGCCTTGCAGACAAATGCGCTCCAGGCTCTGTGGCCTCTTACCACACCTTTCTTCCCTCCCCTCTCTCAGTCAGGCGGGGCTCCCCTGGGCACTAGCCCACAGAGATTCTCTGCTTCTGTCCTGCTGAAGGGAAGGGAGATCTTGAGGTGGGGGATGGTGGGAGGGCCCCGAACCCACCTGTTGACGTGAAGTTGGTAGAGAAATAAAGGTTGAGTGCCGGGGGCAATGGAGGGTCATCACCATCTGTTTTCCTAACGAGTGGCTCCACCATCTGCCCATGTGTCTACCTGAGCTGTCACCAGCTATACCCACCTCACCTCTGGGAACAAGAGTCGAGGTCTGGGGTTCCCACACTGCCAGCCAGGGATTGCCCTCTTCCTCTGAGATAAGGCACTGACTTCCCCAGCCACTCCCAAATGGCAGAGACACAAGTCTGCTCCTCACAGGGACAGCACTTGATAGTTGGTGCATGTGTTCAAACCCCCTGCACACGTTAAGACTCACATGTCATCAGTGAGGAAACAGGCTGGGAGGGGTTTACGACTTGGTCTGGGGCAGGGCTAGGCCTGGAACCTAAATGTCAGGGGCCTCCAGCCCTGACTATTCATTCTGTGGGTCCTGAATCTCTCCCTGAGGTTTCTCGCTCTGCCTCCTTGCCCTCCTTGAACCCCAAGGATGCCTTCAATTTCTGACCCTTCCAAGTCCAGCTCAAAGGCACCTCTCCATGGCTTCCTTCAGCTCACGTTGTCCAAGACCCTTTGAGAGGCTGCTTGATATGAACTCCTGACTCACCCAGGTGACCCTGCCCTCTGGGAGCAGGGGCTCTGCAAAAGGAATAGCTGTGCATCCCCATCTCCCTGATTTTCTTCCTCTGTAGGGAAGATTCATTCATGAAGTTTCTGTATCTAATCCTTTGCCCAGCTGCCCTGGGAAGGGAAATCAGGCCCTGCCCACAGAGCCAGAGACAGGACTGACTTTGGAATTTGCGAGCTGAGTACAAAATGAAAATGCGGAGCCCTTTGTTTAAAAAGTGAGAGTTTCATAACAGTGACAGCAGAGCATTAAAACCAAGACCGGGGCCTTTCTGAGCATGGGGTCCAGTGCACCTTCGTAGAGCACACATCCATGAAGCCAGCCATGACTGGAAGAGACAGAACTCGCCCTTAGGAGCTCCTAGACTTTATGTGGGGGGAAGGGCAAGATTCGGCACACGGCTCACAGCTGGAGCCAAGGATGGGCAGGATGCTTCCTTCTGCGTGGTCCATCACTAGGACCTCTCAGATCCCCAAACCTCTGCATACTCTGCATCTCCCTCGGTGCCCAGCCAGCTCCTAGAGATGGGCCAAGCCAGGGGTTAGGGCTCCATTTTACAGATAAAAGATCCCCAAGACTCTGAGAGCCTGACTATGTAGCTGATTTCCTCATGATGTATAGGCAGAGCGTGGAGCTAAGACGGGCTTGGGGGGCTTGCTTAGGAGACAGGGCAGCTCCAGGACTTCCATCAGCTGCTGGAGGTCATGGGCAGGCCGGCTTCACCTCTGCCCCCACCCAAGCCTGCACAAACCCAGCCTTGCCAGCCCACAGCATGGAGCCTGGCAGGTCAGGATGGAGCAGCCAAGGTAAACAGAGGTTTCCTACCTCACAGCCACTCACCCAAGAGGGAGTTCTGGGGCAAGCCCCGGCTCACTTTGCACTGGCTCAGGGATGGCAGCTGCCAAAATGTCCGTGGCCTTGTCCTGCCCCCTCCGTTGGCCCATGTTGTGCTCCCCATGCCTCCCATGCTACACCCCTCACAGGGGTAGGAGAGACCTCGTTGGGGCCGCACCGGGAGAAATGGAGGTGCAAAATCAGAAAATGACCTAACGTCCACACAAAGAACTGAACTCAACTGTCTGTGGCAGCTTTACTCATCACAGCCCCAAACCGAACACAACCCAAATGACCATCAACGGGGGAAGGACAACAAGCTGTGGTATGTCCATACGACAGAATACTTCTCAGTGAAAAAAAGGAGCAAGCTATTGATATATGCCACAGCATGGATGAAGCTTAAAACCCTTGCGCTGAGTGAAAGAAGCTCATGCTGTGCAATTCCACCTCCATGAAATTCTAGAAAAAGCAAAACAAATCTAGTGACAAAACAGATCAGTAATTGGCTGGGGGTTGGGGAGAGATTGACAGCAAAAGAACAGGAGGGAACATTCTAAGGTGACAGATGACGGGTGGGGGTGGGGGTTACATGCATTTGTCAAAACTCATCAAACTCTGTGCCTAAAATGGGTACATTTTATTGTATGTCAGTTACTCCTCAATACAGTTGGATTTAGAAGAAAAGATGGAGGTAGGAGCCCGAGGAGGTGGGTGGGCACGTGGCTGCCTTGTGGGTGTAAAAGTTTCAGCAACATCAGGAGGCAAGGAGACAAGCCTCCCAAGGAGCGCTCAGTGTTTAGGGGGCAGGGACCTAGGTCGGCCCAAGGAGTCCCCATATTCCAGGGGCAGGAAGTGGATGGGGACCAAGAGGAAATGACTCAAAAGGATGGAGGAGAACCAGGGGGTTGTGATGCCTCAGATGCTGGGGAGAAGGGGCTCCGGCCAGGTCATGGCCCACAGCTGGGGAGGTTAGAAGAGGCCAGAGAAGCAGTGCAAGGTCTGGGAGAGGCCAACCATGAGGACCCCTGCTGTGGCCTCCCCATAAATGCCTGCCCCTGCAACCTCCCCTTGACAGTGTCTGTACACTGGCCCAGGGCCCTGTTCTGGCCATCACCTAAGGAGTCGAGTGGCGTTGAGCGAGCCCTGGGACACCGACGGGCCCGGTGTGGGGGACTGGCCTGAACTCTTCAAGCAGAGGTGTTATCCCTGCAACTCTGGGACCCTGAATGGCTAAGGAGACCATTGGAATCTGCGCTGACCCCCTTGAGGGCCTGGGCTGGCCTCCAGGACGGACACAGGCCCCCTCTACACTCCATAGAGCGGCTAAATTTAGCCAGGCAGAGGAGGCTGTCCTGGGGCTGAGGGCTTGGCAGCACTGCTTTGTCTCCCTACAAGGTCTGGCCCAATACCAGAGCCAGCCACTTGGCCTTTGGGCTTATAAGGTCTGGCAGCTCTCAAATACTGGAGTCTCGGGGTGGGCTCTGGGCCAAGCTCTCAGACTTTGGGGAGCCTCCTTTCCAGCCACTGGCCGCCATGGGAGCTACTTAGGCAAGGCACTCAATTTCTAGAGCCTCAGTTTCCTTATCTGTAAAATGGGGGTTTCGGTGCTTACATCACAGGGCTGTTTTAGATAAAATCTGTGGAGTGTGAAAGCACCACGTCCCCTGTAAACTCTGACCCCTGCCCTGCCCACCCCTGCTCCCCACGATGCCTGGAACAATCACAGATGTCTGTCCCTGGGGATGCTGGAGTGGGGGCAAGGGCGGGAAAACATAGTCCTGGATGGAAAGATGCATTTTAGAACCAGTGAAAGATGCATTGATCCTATCAGCTGCCTCTCTTACTCTGGCAAAGTTACTAGGAAAAAAGAGATCTGGGAAGAGAAACGCAATTGCTTTTACTTCTTTTTCTTTGGGGCGTGCTCTAGATATGAACACCTCAAGTGAAATAATCCTCCATGACAGTCTGTTTTCTGAATGTCAGGGTCAGAACTGAGGCTCTAACAGGGGCAGATGTGTGTGCTCCAAGCAAGGGTGTCTGAGTAGCTAAGGAGACCCATTGGAGCCTTGTGCCGAAACCCCTTGAGGGCCTGGGCTGGCCTCCAGGATGAGCAGAGGCCCCCTCTGCACCCCACCGGCCACTAAATTTAGCCGGGCAAAGGAAGCCATCTGTCCACTGGTCCATCTGTCTGTCAGCAAGGCTGGCTCCTTGGAACGGGGGAGAGGGGAGAAGAAGGAGGAGGAGGTGGAGGAGGTCACGGTGATGGTATCCAAAGGGCAGATACAGATTGGAGGATGACTGTCTGAATTCCTTTGCCGCCTCCTCCTCCCCTCACCTGAGTGCCGGCTGCCCTCCTTAATATCCAGGAATCATGGGAGGACAGGGACACAGAGATGGCTCAGGTAATGCCAGCATCCACCCCGGCTCTTCATCACAAGCAATTCATGTCCTGGGACCTGCTATTCCAAGAGCCACGGGATCAGCTGGAAAGAGAATAGGCCCTTTTGTGTGGGATCAAGACCAGGCCGAGGGGATGTGATCCCCTTAGGTCTGGCTCCCAGCATCTCTGGATTTTTTTGCTTAGAAAGTCCCAGGACATGGTTCTGGCCTGCCCTGCTTGACGGTGGCATTGGACACACAGTCGAGTCTGAGACTGGCGAGACTGATCTGTCTGAAAGGGGGATTGGCCCAGGGTGCTGCAAGAGGCCACGGACCCGCCCTCGGTTGGGGCCTTTGCCATCCAGAGAGCAGCTCTGCTCAGGCACACCTGGGATTTCCAGCCCTTGGGTCTGGTTCCCTGACTAGAGCAATTTCCCAGCTAATTTCCCAGCCATGAAGGAGACTCTTATCAGCCCTCAGGGTGAGGCAGTTTGGACTGCAGGGGAGCGCCCCACACCCCTGGGACACCCAGCCTCCACCTCCCACCTCCAGAGGAAGTCCCAAGGACACCTGGCCTGGTTTGAGGGGCAGCCAGCAAGGCCTTCCTGCTTCAAGCTGAAGCCTCCAGTACCGCCCAGGGTGAGCTTGGGCAATTCATTTCTCTTCTCTGAGCTCATTTCTTCATCTGCAAAACAAGGCATGGGGTTGGAGGAGGCCTCTGGCTCTAGGGCTCCAAAAGCGAACATGAGGCCTCTGCCCCATCCCAGTCCCCGGGGCCTTGCATTCCTGCCCTGAGCTGGGGTTGAAGACAGGGATACAGAGGGGCTCTAACCCAAGATCAATAGTGGCCTCTGGTTTTTGTTTTTGTTTTTGTTTTTGTTTTTGTTTTTGTCCTCAGCATTATTGGGACTCACCTGGCTAGGGCCTCTACCTATGAAAGAAATCCATTATCATCCCCATTTCACAGATAAGGACACAAGCTCAGACAGGTGAGGCAAATAACCCAAGCCCTCACGGGCAGCTAGTGGCAAAGCCAAGGATATTAACCAAGGCCGTCTGCTGTTAGGCTTACCCGGATGCATCTGAGGGAGCCCTATGGCAATGTGTAACTGATGTGGCCCTTGACTCTTCTAGGCACTTGCCTCCCTCTGCTTGTTTCAGGGAGGTGGAGGCCTGGCTAGGACAGGACAGGGCAGGTGATGGGAGA